ACCCATCCCTTTGAAGCACTTAATTCTGAAGCGGTTTTAATTGAGGCTTGTGGAAAACAAGAACCGCTTTCCTTGCCCTGTCCCTCCGCAGGGCAGGCGGGAGGCGTGGGGGTCCTGTGCTCCATGCTGACCCCGAGCCTGCACCCAGGCTGGAAGCTCCCAGCTTCTCCCGCTCCCCATCCCGAGTACGGAGAGCCACAGAGCTCTTCCCTGAAGTACAGGGAACTTTAGCAGCAAATAAGTGGTACAGATCAAAGGACAACCAACATTATAATAATTCCTTGACAAAACATCCATGAAGGAATACACCAATGTTACCTTGTGAGTGTTCAAAATTACTAGCAAGCCCCAAAAGACCAAAATTCTGAATAGTTTTAGGTGCTAAAGAAGCATGTAAGCATTAATATTAACTGTTACTCATTCAGACCCACAAAACTTTTGCAACAAATTTCAACAAGTGAATACAAGTGCTCTGCTCTCTGAAGTGAGGGGTGAGATTATGTCAATGGTCACTGCAAGCTCCAGGAAACAGCAATGGGAAAGAAAACCAGGCTTAGAGGGAAACTTGAAAACAGAATGGGCTGTGAGATTTGAAAGGGCATGGAAGTGGGAGGAAAGCATTAAAGAGGAGGTGAAGAAATGAAGGCTGTGACCACGGTTAGAGGAAGAAACAGCCCATCCATCCAAGCAAGGAGGGGTGAGTTTCAGCCAGCCCTAATGGCACAAACACACCTATCCTACCTAGTTTTCAGTTATTTATTCTGGCCTGCCCTCCTGTCTCATCCTTTTTCTTCCCGAAGAAAGAGTATTTCAGACTCTCAGCACCCCATTGCTTGCTCACTTTTCCCAGTTAGTAATAGAAGCACATTTCATTTCAGAGTTTCTCTTATTTTTAATATATTTCCATAACTCGTTCTTGATGCCTTTTATGTTTTGCTTTGTTTTGCTGTGCATCCATTCTCTCATCATCCCTGTATGTTTGTGCTCCTCCTTTACATGCAGTTTTTGCAGTTTGCACGAGTCCTGTTTGTTTTCTGGTTGCTCCTGAGGCAATCAAAGGTCTCTTTCTGTGCTCCTTGTCCTCATTTAACACCAGAGAGTCTGTCACTGAGTCCTTCGGAAGAACTAGCCCTCCCATAATCCTCTGTTCCCACAGTCTGTTTTTCTGCATGAGGAAGTGCATACGTCCAGGCATGCGTTTGCAGTGCAAGTTTCTGTGGTCCTGGCACTGACACGGTCCCTAGTTCCCGCACGAGCTCAAAGGACTGAGGGAGAGCAAAGCTGGCCTGAGTCTCACTTTCATAATTTTCTTTTTTTCCAGCAATGTACTTTCAGTGTTACTAAGCCAAGTGCATGTGTTTACTCTTAGCACAAATTAACAGACAAAATGAGTTAATTAGAAGTAAACCTTAAACTAATTGCTTCCTGTTTCATATGCTTTGAAGTAAACACAGTACACAAAATTTTTCTTTTCTTGGTCATTTTTCCTACCAAGCATCAGTGTTTGGCAGTGCTGGAAGATGTTCTCTTCCCAAAACCTAATGCATATCGATGGAAAATTTTATGTTTTCCACACTTCAGGAAACTAAGGTTGAGTTTCTCTCTTCCACCTTCCTGACCTGCCAAAAGTGGCTGATAGGGGGTGAACTCTGCAGAAATCCTGCCTGAGTCCTGGGCACTGACACAGGTGGATTTGGGGAAATGGGTTTATCTCCTTCCACAGAGGAAGGCAGGAAAGGCCTGAATGGGTCACTGGTACAAAAGTGCCATCTCCCAAGAGGTTGGCAGGGGTTTGGTGACAATGACTTAGAAAAACTGCAATGCAGGATCCTATGCACAAGGCCACAGCACTCGGCAGCTGACAGACAAAAATCCACATTTTGTCCATGGGAGATGCAGAGCCAGCAGCCCTAAATCCCATTGCCCCACCAGCACGCTTCCCTTTGCACCTCCACAGCTGAGCTCTCATGGGATGGGACCCTGCTCCCCATGGTGGTCCCCGCATCTTGGCTGGCAGACCAGAGCTGAAGACATGCTGAGTTTGAAGCACTCAGCCACAGATGGAGCTCCTCTGCCTGCCGTGGATGGAGCTCCTCTGCCAGCTGCAAAGGTTTTTCCTGCAGTTCCCACACAACATGACAAATCCTAAAACGCGTAGAAGGACAATCTAGATCTGCAAAGACTGGCACAGAAGCAGCTGAAAAGCCTCTTGTCCCTGGCTATCCCAAACTTAAAACTGATCAAGGCTCTAGAGCTGGGGACAATCCTGGCTTCCCCTTTTCTCAACATGTATCTCATGCAGCTGTGCTACCAGCTAGGAGGCTAGAAACAGAGCTCAGCATTTGGGTTTTCCCCTTAAAATTTAGGGCTGCATTGTGTCTGGGAGACATCACTGTGGGTGAGGACAGGCAGCCCTACGGCAGAGCACAGACTCCCACACCACAGAGGCACAGAGCTGTGGCTGCCTCCATTGGAGGTGCCCAGGAGTCACTCATTGGGGTTTTTATCTCATCTGCCAACGCAGGAGGGGCAGGCAGGACCCTTAAACTACTTTCCCATCCCAAATTCAAAGACTCCCCTCTTGGTCCAAGGAATCCTTTGAAGGAGACACTGCCACATCTTGGAAAGCAGACAGAAACCAGAAAATGGATCCGTTCCTTATTCCCAGATTCCTACCAATTGCAGTGAAGCTCCTACAGCCAGAAATAGCAGAACAGTTAATCAAAAGGGATTAAAGAAAATGAACCACAATGCAAGATATTGTTGAAGCTGAGAATCTGGTATGATTCAAGGAAAGCACAATATCTGCAGCTCTAACAGTTCAGATAATAGTTTAGAATATATATGGCTGTCTTACTTCATGCCAAAAACAATCACTGTTTGCCTCAAGCAAAGAAGAAATCTCTCCCAGAGGCGCACTGTCGCAGCAGAGCTGAGCACTTTGTGTTGGTCACTGTTTCCAGCTGGATGTGAGACTGGGTGGACCACTCATTCCATATGGGATAGAAATGCTGTGTACTGGCAAGAGCCAGGGCTAGAAGGACATCATTAAGTGATCAAGACTTTGCAAACACACATGAGGATATTTGTTCTTACAACTTTTATTTCTAACTTGTCTGCAGAGATGATGGGAAGAGGAGTCTGCTGGCAGCCTGTCCTGTGAAGGTAGCACACCTTCTCACAGCATTCAAACACCCAGAATAGAATAGAATAGAACAGAACAGAACAGAATAGTTCAGTTGGAAGGGACCTACAATGATCATCTGGTTCAACTGCCTGACCACTTCAGGGCCGACCAGAAGCTAAAGGAGCAGCATTCATTTCCAGCTGAAGGGCCAGCAGAAGGACAGAGCTTAACACTCAGTGTTTTGCATTTCATATACAACTGTGATGTTGCAAATGGCAATAAACATAAACAAACATAGGTTGCTTATTCGTTCTAGGATGCTCTTGTGTGGGATGCAGTTCTCTAGTCCAACAAATGTGCTGAAGGTATCTCCATCTTGTCTTTAACACAAGTATGTAAAGATCAAGCCTTTCAGTATTGTTGATTTCCAATGTACGGGACCCCTCAAATGCATACCTAGAACAGCTACACAGCACAGAAAACACCGGCGTATGTGCACTCCTCCCAAGAAAAACACTCCTCAGCCTGCCCTCAAGTTGTACTGCCTGGGTTCACAGCACCAAGGCCAGGGACAACTCTGGGTTTATTCAGCCATCTAAATGATCAGTTGCATTGTGTATTAAATTGAGTTTTCTAGTATAGATAAGGGTCAGTAAAGTGGTTATTTTAAGTGAACTTTGTAGTTTCATTTTGATGAGAGTCAGGATGGTAAAGTTCCCTCATCTCTTCTGGTTTTGGTATATCTTGTCTTTCTCATATTATACTGCAACAACAATAACATTAAGCCTCTCTTCCTGTAACCCAGATTAAAGACTGAAATAAAATCACGGTCACACAGTGTTAAAGCAGGGAGATAACCACAGGAGAGCAGTAACCTGCACTCACCTTGCTCTTGTTGCATTCTCCTAGACATGCGCAGTTGGCCACTGCGGGTGACAGCCACCAGGTCAGCTGGACAACGGCTGTGACCTCTGGTCATTCTGAAATAGAAATACCTGGGTTTATTAAAATAGACATTGTATTAGAGGAGACCTTTGTCGTGGTTTAACCCCAGCCAGCAACTAAGCACCACGCAGCCGCTCACTCACTCCCCCCCATCCAGTGGGATGGGGGAGAAAATCAGGAAAAGAAGTAAAACTCCTGGGTCGAGATAAGAACGATTTAATAGAACAGAAAAGAAGAGACTAATAATGATAATGATAACACTAATAAAATGACAACAGTAGTAATAAAAGGATTGAAATGTACAAATGATGCGCAGGGCAATTGCTCACCACCTGCTGACCGACACCCAGCCAGTCCCCGAGCGGCGAATCCCCTGCCCCCCCCTTCCCAGTTCCTAAACTAGACGGGACGTCACATGGTATGGAATACACTGTTGGCCAGTTTGGGTCAGGTGCAATGGCTGGGCATGAGAAGCTGAAAAATCCTTGACTGTAGTGTAAACACTACTGAGCAACAACTGAAAACATCAGTGTTATCAACATTCTTCACATACTGAACTCAAAACATAGCACTGTACCAGCTACTAGGAAGACAGCTAACTACATCCCAGCTGAAACCAGGACAACCTTATAGCAGGCAGTAAGATCCCACGGGAAGACTAGTTTAAGGCATTAATTGTTTCTTAATATTCTTAAACAAGTTCAGCCTGCTTTTCATCTTGATACAAATTTAGCATAAGTATTTTGGAGCTTGTCTTCATTAGAAAAAGACATCAAGAAAGGATGTGGGTAGTTAATCCCAATAAATGCATGCTTAAGCCTTAGACCTCTAAGTTTTTCCCAGTAATTACGAATGCTTTTGGGGAATTCTGTCTATGTTAAGCATCATTGTCATGGGCAAACTGCAAGGGCTGTTTCTCATCCCACAGGTCCCACGAGCCAAGGCCCTGTACACCTACCGAGGGCACAACCCCGGGGAGCTGAGGTTCAATAAGGGGGACATCATCGTGCTGCTCCGCCAGCTGGATGAGAACTGGTATCTGGGGGAGGTCAACGGGATCAGCGGTGTTTTCCCAGCCAGCTCTGTGCAAGTCATCAAGCACCTGCCCCTGCCACCGCCCCTCGGCCGAGCACTCTACAGCTTTGACCTGAGGAGCAGGGAGAAGACTGAAAACAAGGACTGCCTGACGTTTCATAAGGTAACACCACCCCGCAGCAGCAGAGGCTGGGCTGTTTTCTTCTTTAGACTGTACGGTGTTCTGCTACTCCCTGACTCCATAGGAGCTCCCTTTTGGAAACCAGTAAGGTTCCCAAGCCCCCTCCGTCACTGCTGCCAGCAGTTAGACCCCCACGACTGCCCCACAGGCACATAGGGGCACGTGTAGGACGAGGGGCATCCAGAGAGGGATGCGAGCGCCCGCCACGAGCGGTGACCACAGTCCCTTGGCTCAGCTTCTCACCCATGCTGCTGTCGTGGATGAGGAGCGGCTGATGGTGGTAGTCTGCTCGCAGGGCCAAAACACTCCAAGGAGATCTCTAAAAGACACCTACTGACATAGTAAAGAAAATTGCTTCCAGGTCTGGGGATAGGTCGTTTATGCAGCTTGAACATACCCAGCCTTACTGGAGCCATGCATTTGCAGAGCAATATCCGAACTTTTACTGTATTTGCCTTTATTCCCCAAAGGCTACAGAGTTTGCATTTTCTCTGTTAGAGGACACAGTCTTCTGAGTAACTGCACCTCCCAGCAAAGTCAACTGTCCCTGTAGTGTCAAAATGAGGTGAGGCATGGCAGAGCAGAACAGAAAGCGCTGCCTGGAGGCATCAGTGTCCTCGCAGAGAAGTCATCTCTTTCTCCGTCCAGCTGGCAGCACAGCTGCGATGCTCTCCTCGCTCTCACGGATGGGAAGAGGAGGCAGGAGAGGGAGGCTGTGGTCCAGGGCCAAGTGTCCCCAAGGAGTCAGAGCTGGATGTGGAGTGGCTAGCAGGAGGCAAGAGAAATCAAACGGCCAAAAGCCAGCTATGGTTTCTGACTAAGGCGAGGAACTAAAAGAGAAAAATCAGTTCGGAGCAGCATCACACATCACCAGCAGCTCTATAAAATATGGGCCCTCAGCTTGCTAGCACAGATGCAGAGAAGCCAGGCAGCCAGAAATCCTCCCTTTGTCATTAGGATTCACTTATTAGCAGGAGGCATATTCCTCAGTTTTCTGCCATCTGCGTTCGTTTGTTTTTTCTCTTTCACTCTATTTGCCTTTGTTTCACAGCTTACTCATTCTGTTTATTTGTGTTAGGAGGCTGCGCTCATCTCTGCTCCCACAGCAAAGTTCACACGCGGGGAGTTAGTGCACATCTAAAACAAACAGATGCTTCTGCAAAGAGGAGCATCCTCCTGTCCCCCAGCTTTTGTGACAGCGGTCGGTTGTTACCGTACAACGTGACGAAGATCGGATCAGTCACTTCAGTAACTCCCTTCTGCAGTAACCTCGAGGCAGTGCTGGTGCCAGTGCCGTGTCCTCCTCCAGCTGGGCATAGCATGGGGTGACTGGCCAGCCAAGGCGGGCAACTGGAGAGTGCCATCTCTCTGCAAGCCACCATAAAGAGATGATTTATTCCTCCAGGAGCACTAGCAGGCAGGGGAACCTCAACACAGTGAGGCTGGAGCCTCGGGTGGGTGACACAGGAGTTGCATTTGCGCAGCGCAGCCTGGCTTTAGACCAAAGCTCTGCTGCAGGCAGCTTGATCTAGTTTTTTTTCAAAAATACGAGCTGGCTGTAAAAAAAACCAAACCAAAACAAAATAAACAAAACAAACAAAAAAACCCACAGCTGCCCGGTCTCACAGGAGTGCTGCACGCTGCAGCTGTCTTCGCAAGCAGCTTCTCTTCTCACTGGCTTTCCCATCTGGATGGGATACCCCCTTTTTACTTCACATTTGGCTTTGCCCCACCTCCACGTACCCTTGCCCTCCCTTGTAATTTGGCAACAGGCCCACCTGGAAATTTGTGCAGAGATTCAAGTGCAATACCACATAGCAATCTCTTCTGATTCTTCAAGGCAGTAGCCAGCAGATAACTTTCAGACACACAAATGAAAGCTGAGTCACTTACTGCAAGATTAATACAAAATTTCCACCGGTTCAGGTGGAAACTTTGTGCACACATTCTACACAGGTGTAAAAGTTTTGGCCAGTGGGAACCAGCTTTCTCTGACCCCTTCAGCCTCAGAGTATTAAAATTTTAGCCCCAAACTTTCCACATTGGTTAAGAACAGAGAAAAATATAAATTTGTTTCTGTAAAATTCTCCTTACTTCCCACACACACGTGGCAGATATCCTTAAAAAGACGAAATCAAAACATCTTAAAAGTTAATAAGATTTAATTCTGCTGGGTTGCTCAGAAATGTAGGTCTTTCCAAAGAGATGTAGCTATCAGTCAATACAAACTAGCTTTTTTCCTCCAGAGTATTTCAAATACCTGCACTCAAGCAATGTCAGGTTATTTCAGCTCCTGAAATAGCGATCTGAGCTTCTCAGCAGTGTGACGCCAATTGCCTCAACATTTACATAGGGGTTTTTCACTTAGTTCATAGCTAAAATACCATTTTCATTATTAGTTGTGTGCGTGGCAATTATAGAGGCATTTCCACGCAATGGAAACCATTCAGCAAGTCAAAGGCTTTTCATGTCCTCACTGTCAGACTCATGTCCACGGTCCCGATTCAGCCACGTTCGCACCTTTAAATTAAAAACAAGCTTGAGCATTGCGCTGAGTAAGGCCAGACAAGCTGGCGTTTCAGAATGCATACATACCAGAAGCTGTCCCAGAGGACTTGACGGGGACGCACCACCAAAGCTGTTGAACGAGGCTGCTCTCCGCAACGGCAGGGCGAACCCATCCTCACCCCTACGACCCACCTCTCCCCCAAAAGAGGGCTGGTGACACTGTGCTCCTGCCCTTCAGGGTGACGGCATCACCGTCCTCGGCAGGGCTGATGAGAACAGAGGGAAAGTTAGGCGACAAAGCAGGGACCTTCCCCACCTTGCGCGCAGCGGGGGGTCCAGCCCGTTCTCCGCCATGCCCACCCAACGCCCTGCCGGGCAGCGGCACGTGCCAGCACCCGGGGCCAGAGCCCTCCTCCTGGCCCGGCACGGCTCACCACTGCCTCTCACCCCTGCAGACAGCGAGCAAACAGCTCTCCCTCTCCCTTGCTGGACTGAAGCCTCCACAACAAGGAAAAAAAATTGGGGGCAAAAATGCAAAATTCAGGCAAAATATCAAAATTGCACTTTTAACGGGTTCTGTTGTAATCAGCTCTCATGTAGCTCTCTTTGCTGAGGGATCTGCCCCGTGAGCCCCCCCAGCTGCTATCCTGGGGCTGCAGGGGTGCTGGCTGGTCACGATGGCCCCCAGCCACCCCCAGCCTCCGCCAGCGCCAGCTCAGCGCGTCTCAGGCAGCGTTCCCGGCGCTCCGGCTCCGGAGCCCTTTAAGCCACCCGCTCCCTGACAGTACTTTGTTACCACTGGTCTAGACAGTAATTGTATTCCAGCAGTTTAGCTTGAGATGCAGGGTGTAAATGGCACCAACAAGAATTCCTAGAAATAAAATTAATACTTGTAATCATCATAATTACAGCAAGCACTTCTTTGTGGCTGTTTTATAAAAGGACACTAGTAAAATACCTTATTTGAAGCTCTAATATATTTTGTAAAATGTTTTTTCATTTAATGAAATCATTTTAGCTTCAGTAATTACTTATTTAAGTCTGACGTTAACAGAAATAAGTTAGGGCCACATAAAGCCACCAAGGAAATAGAAATTAATTATGGAGAAGGCAAAGGTAGGTCTGTTTTGGGAGATGCAAGGCTTTCCTTGGCTTTGACACTTAGGTTTGTGCCCCATTTTATCACATCTCTTGGTGTTTAGAGAAGGCAGAAAAATGTTTACAGTTTAGGCTAAAGTTTAATTACATATAGAAATGACAATATTGCCATCTTATATGTGTACATATGCACACACTATGTTTTTTAAACCTTGCTTTAAGAGTGAGGAAGAGGGAAATGTGAAAACAATCCCTGCTTTAAAATGATAATACTTGAGAGACACCTGTACCTCTCCTGCGTTAGAGTCATCCTTGTTCATCCCAGGAGTCAAGCACATTGCCTCACATGAGTGGGTGAGAATCTCAAAGTTTTGCAATTTGTTAATGTCAGCAGCAAATCATGATTAATTCCTCTGGCAGTCATCACGGTAAAAAACATTGTCACCACATGCCCTTTGCTATTAATACTGTGGGATCAGCAGTTTCCAAGAAATACTGTTTGCCCATATGCAAACTCAGGGCCTGACTCTTCCCTCATTAAACCCAGTGGTTAACAAGCCAGGTTCTTTTCAACGGAAGCAGGTTCAAGCCACGAATATTTAGGCCTACAGAGATGTAATTGGGTGGATCTAATTCTGCTGGGAAAGCCACTATCAGTGAGGGCTTCTCCGAGCTCCTGCCTTAAAGTCGGCTGCAGGGCTTTGACGTCCTGCTGCGAGACGCACCCAAGCGTGCCAGCACGAAGTGGAAAAGGAAGATGTGCCCAAACGTCCCTTCTAATTTAGAGTTAAATTTATTATAGCGCTGCCAGAGAGTCAGGCAGCTCTCCTTACACCTCTGCAAGCCAAAGGCTTTGACAAGAGACAAAGCTTTCTGTAAAGTATTGGGGAGGAGCACTCAGCCTCAGTAACGTGTTGTCTAAGCAACAAGTTTTTCAAACCAATTTTAATTTTGCTGTCAGCTTTGCATCAGTAATTTTGCATCCGGGATTTGTCACTGAAAACATATCAGGGAAATGACTGAGCCACAAGTTTTTAAAGATCACCTGTAACGTCATCTGAAATCTGCCCACAGTTCTGCTGCCAGATAAGAAAAGAGAGGAAAAAGGCAAAACTGAGCAGTCGCCGGGCTGTGCCAGGCATAACTTCTGAAATGTGCCATCACATCTCCCTTTGTCTCTTCCAGCCAAACACCACTGCAAGGCAACTCCTGCAGACCAGCAAAAGCCACTGGTCCCCTCAGTTTAAGTGTGCATCCCTACGAACGGCATCTCCCAAAGCAAAAGGTGCAGATTCGCCAGCTTTCCCCAAGGTGCCCGACTCCAGGCGGAAGAGCCTGCGGCAGTTCTCCATCACCACTGCCCTGAACACCCTCAATCGGATGGTCCACGCGCCCGCTGAGCGGCAGGCGCTGGAGATCAGCTCCCCTGTGCTCATCAGCTCCAGCAACCCCACCGTGGCCACCCAGAGCAGCGAGAAAGCGGAGTTTCCCTATGCCACCCCTCTCCAGGTAAGGAAGCAGCGGCGTGGATGCTGCAGGGGCAGTGTAAGTCCGAAATGCAAATCCTGGGTAGAAACACTCAATGCGCAGGCAGCAATTTGAAAAGCTAAAGCACAAACGTGCAAAGACAAAGCACCCATACTAGTAGTGTCAGTAAGATACGTCATCCACATCAGGCTGCTGGGATTTTCTTCCACTTCTTTTGAATTGGAAACATCTATCTTCAGAGTTCAGGGGCCCAAGGGAATTCATAAAAGGAGAAATTAAGTTATCAGAGTAACTAAACATGGATAAAGCACATCCCCATTCTGATTTCTGCCCTACTGCAGTAAGCTCCAGGTGTAGCGTGGGAGAAAACAGAGCTCTTTACTTGCAAAATAAAATATTTTTCATTTTAGAAAGTAGTAAGGAACATGAATTCCAAGGGAGCTAACTGAGGCTCAGCTCATTCACAGACGTGTGTGTTCCTGGATTCACACTGCAAGCAAACATCTGGTTTGCCATGCAACAATGTAGATCAAAAATAGGCAGTTCTCAGCATTTGCAAAATTAAAGCTAAAACCAGCCATTGGCCATGCTCACCTGCGTTATTTTGACAATGAACCTTTCTGAACAACTCCCACAGAATTCAGTTGCACTGGCATGGCAGGACCTGCAGAATTGGGCCCTGAATTATGAGCAAATAAAAGCTCAGTGACATTAATGAGGAAGCCACACTGTACTGAGCAGGTCTGTACTGCCAGTGATTGCTTTAATGGCCTTTTCATCTAACCCCCATGCTTAAAAGGAAAGTAGAAACCTGTGCTTTTTATTAATTGGTGTTTTGATTTTTTTGGTAAGTCTTAAGCATACAAGGAGTCCTCAGCATCTCCAATATTTATCCTCAATGATAAGCATTGGGCTTAATCGAAAAACTTGATGCAGCCCAAAATTTCAGCACAGGAGATCACATGTTTGGGTACCTCTAAACACAACCTTTGCTCTGCCTGCTGGGGCACACACAGGTGTCGTGGAAGCACAGAGCTCCATTACCGTACCCTAAGCCACAAAGTTTTCTCCAAAGGCAAACCACTTACAGAACAGGCTTCCTCAAAAAGCACCAATTCAGCCACGTTATAACATCTACAGAAATAATGAAGAAGCCTCCTGCTGCTTCTAATCAGGGCTGTCAGCCCTTCTGAAAAGCAATCGGGGTCTTTGCCCTACCCTAAATCAGTCCTCTGCCTGCATCTGTCCACATCCAGATGAATGGTTTCTAGCAGGGGAGGGCAATTACCAGCAGTCCTTGCCGGTCTGCAATATAAACTTGGGAATGTACTGAGAGAAGCTGAATTTGGGGCTGAGATAATAAATGTAGACTGACCTTTTGGACTATATCTGCTCTTTATTTTAGGAGGCAAAAGAGTCTCATTCCTTCTTCACACTCTGACTAAAAATCTCAATACAGAATCTTCACAGATCATCTGAAATGGGAGAAAAAAGGGTTTGTTTAGATTTATATGACATCTTTCATATTCAAGGTTGCTCTAACATTTTATAAAGCAATAAGCCAGCCCCTGGTAGTTCAGTGTCTGTGCAATAAAACCCAGCAGGCATTTTGTACTTAGCAATAGCCTGCAAAGAGCCTTGGATGTTAGATCCTGTTTTATGTGAGAGGAAATGAAGCCTTACAACAGAACTATAATTCAATTGAAATGGTATCATGTCTCGCGAACCCAATATAATTTTACCAAAAACGTCTCAGTGTGAACTATTGTCAACAGCAGAAGCAATAGAGTGAATGTGTGTTACCTTGGGAGGGTTGGAATTTCCTTTCTTCTAAACAACAGTTTTGCTCCCGGAGGTTTGCAGGAGGATCTGTGTTGTTCACAGGCCACACAGGTTGCAGCTTTTCCTTTTTCCATCTCTGGGTTTGGGTTGCAATGACTGACCTGCATGCAAAGTTGAGATTTTCTTTTCCAAGCCCAGATACATACTGCCAGGCTGGACCATGTTGGCCATACCTCACTGAGGTCACTTGTCCTTTTTCCTAGTATTAATCAGATGGAAAAGCTGCAGCAGTGAATTTGTTGATAAGGCAGCCCTCATGATCAGAACAAAGTTGCAGGATTGAGGCATAATGGGAGATGAGAGCTGATGCTGTTCCCAAGGGTTGGTCCACCCTGCTCAGCAGCTTCTGGTGGAATTTCAGCTTCGATAGTAAGTGCCGAGACTTTGGAAAAACAGCAGTGCATCTCCAAAAGCGTGGTTGTTCCATGGCAATTAGTTTTATGTACACAACATTATCTGGAAGGAAAAGATCTGTGTTTCTTGGGTTTAAACTACTCCAGATAAAACAGAAGTTTGGAAGTAATGAACAGCTGCATGCCTACTGCCAGCCCCAAAAACTCAGCCCCAGAGTACGAGTATCAAGCTAGGGTCTTCCATTATTAGCAGTATAGTAAAGAAAAGAGTGGGCTGAATCACATCTTTAATTGCTTCCCTGCGTTTTCGTGCTCCCTAGTAAGTCTGCAGAGGTTGAGTAGCCTGGATCTTTGTGGGTGGTCACAAATATGGTGCAGCAGATGGAGCTGAGTCTACAGCTCAGCTCAGCCGTTCCAACTCCGGGCTGAAATCCTCACCGGGGTTCAGCCAGGTGCGGAGCCTGCGCTCGCACACGGCTGCGCTGTGTAAGGAGCAGCGACGGCTGCTCTCGAACCGCCCGGGAGCCAGCCCCAAATGGCACAGCCTCTCTGGAGGAGTTTCTGAGACCTGGCGGGCAAAGACAATTTTTGCGAACGAAGTAGGCGAGGATTTAACTGGTTAAGTGGGAATTGTCCCAGGAGACCAAGCCCAGGGTTGGATAACCTTAGCCGGCAGGCAAGGGTGAGGTATATGGGGTGGGCTGGGCAAGGGGGACGGAGGTGGAAGGTGCCCCCCTGCCCAGCCCCTGGCCGCCAGCGCTGATGCCCTCCTCTGCCAAGCAGAGGGATGGCACAGGAAGGGAGCAGGCCTCTGCTTAACATGGCGAGCGGCAGGCGAAGCCACAGAGGCTGTGCGGGGTGAATCACTTGCAGGAGGAACGTGCGCCGCAGCATCCACCCTCCCTGGGAGGCAGGGAAAGTCCACCTCCCCATCCAGGGCTCCATGCGAAGCCCAGAGAAGTCCCGAGAGCAGCCACAGCCCCTGGGCTCCACAACTGAACACCGGAGTTTTTCTCCCTCCGTGAAAGGCACTGCCCCATCAGCAGCACCCCAGCCCTCCGCTCGCCTCCGCACGCTGGGCGCGCGCTCGCTCGCCGGCAGCGTGCCCTCCACAGAGCGCTCGGAGGTGCTTTTGTCCTTTCAGACAATGACCCAGTTTCGTTCCCTGTCTGAGATAAGGATGTAAGGCCCTGTGAGACCTGCTGGAAAGAAAGGAGCTGTGCTGCAACCGGGTTTGACGCTAGCAAGGCTTCGGATCGCAGGAGGGGGGTCCTAGCGTCAGCCATCCCTCGGGGATGGAGCAGCAGAGCAACCTGAGCGATCAGACTGGAAACCAAGTGATCCTGTTAACACCCCAGCCTTTAAATCCATCTCCTCTGCAAGGACAGGCTGCCAGACAGATATCGAATATACATTTGGATCTGGTAATTTAAAAAAAAAAAAATCCACACATTTGGAATGGATGTGCTCATTGCTTTCTTTCAGTTGGGGGTCAAAAGACGTGGGAATGTTCCAGTAGCTTCTAGTTACATGACACTTGCCCTAAGCTATGAGACTACATATGTTTGAGGGAGAGAAAAGAGATCATTAGTATCGCCCTGAAGCGCCCTGCGTGTGACATGTCCCCCCGCAGCGTCATGTCTCCAGCGATGCTGGTGCTTGGTGGCGGGAGAGGGAGCAGGAGGGGCTGCACTGTGGGTCAACACAGCAACAAAGCACAGCTGAAGAGGCTGTGCTGGCTGTTTGTAGGGCTTTCCGAAACACGACGTGCCTGCCTGCCTGGCGTTTCCACCAACAAGGAACAAGTCGGACTCATTTCGGCCCATAAAAGGGAATAACCGGCAGCGGCCGGCATTGCCGCCAGCCCTCCTCCTGCTCTTCCTTCCCCTCCGTGGTGCCAAGCCGGGCTCCTGTGGGAGCCAGAACCAGTTTGCAGGGCTTGTGGCTCACCGTGTCTGTGCATGTGCCTGTTGTGCAAGCAGGCCGGCTGCCGGGGCGAGAGGAGCGCGGCATCGCGGAGCTGCGCCCGCCCTCCCCGCCTCCAGCAGAAAGCACCAGCAGCTGCAGGAACCTCTTCCCAGTCCCAGCTGAGCTGATTCCCCTGGGCCTGGTGGTACCTGGGTCAGGAAACATCTGGCTAAGAGCTGCTGCGACGCTTTGCTGCTCGTTGAAGTGAGCTGATAAACCTGACATCTGCAGTCTAGTACACTTGGCTTTTCGGTGTCATAAATGATCTGAAACCTGCAGGACCCAACTTTCAGTAGCACTGAGAGCACCAACTGCCCCAGAGCAGAATGGGGACAATCGCCCTCCCCACAGGGCACGTCACGAACACTCTCGACGGGGAATTGCCTGTGTCAGCAGGGCACCGTAGAGGAGCCAAGCTAGAAATCACACCAGCAACAAACTAGATAGGGAGATGGAGTAAGAGAGGGATTTCAGGAGAGCCAGGAAATGAAACTCTTTGTACTTATAAGGGCTTCCAAGGCACTCACAGGAGATCAGCAAAAGTGAATGCTGAAATCAGTTATACACAGCTGGAAACTATTTCATTCAATCTTTTTTCCTCTCTGTTGAAAATACAAAACCAGCTTTGATGCAGGCTCTGAAAGGATCGCTGCTTCCATACAGAGGGGGGAACAGAGAGAGATGAAAAACATTAAGCTTTCCACCCAGAAATGCACTTTTCAATACAGTTCCATCAGGAAAACCAGCAAAAGGTTGTCATTTTGCTCCAATGCAGGAAGAAGAAACTCCAAATCCCCAAATTTCAAAGATTTTGATTAGGAAAATTATTAAAACAAAATTATAATTTCCAATCAACTTGGAAATATGAAAGCCTGGTCTGACCCTTCCTGGACTAGAAAATGAGGAATGCAAAGATAGTTTGAAGCTGACCTGCCACTCCAGGTCCAGAGACAGAAGCTCGAGTTGCTGGGGGTTTTTAATTAACTTAATTCACTGGAGAGCTGGTGAGTAACTTTTTTTTCCCCTAGATCCTTGCTAAGCCTTGCTAAGCCAGTGCCCCAGCACCATGTTACAGCCATGACCACCAGAAATTAGATTTGAAAGGCATAAGAGATTAAAGCCCTGACAACTTGCACCATTAAAGTTCCTGTGGTCTTTGCTGGAGAGCATGACTGCCAGCCACATCCCAGCCTGGTGACTTTCCGCTGGCCTGAGATTCCCCAGGGACGCTGCTGCAGCTGCCCTGCCTTGCTGGGAACTTTGTTTTCACCTCCCGACAGCAGCCGCGCTCCTGCAATGGCACAACACAGCTAATGCCTTTCAGTGTGCGCAGCGCTGAATTTCAAATGGGGATGAACTGCTCGCTCACAGCAGTCCACCCCGGGATACATTTTTGTGCTTTAGAAGGGATAGATCAGCAGAAGAGAGCATCCTGAGGATGCCAGATTGAATGCTGCCATCCTTTCCTCCAAACCCACGGGCCAGACCTGTACAAACGGGCCAGCACACTGCTGCCTGCGCTCCTCATCACCTCCTGGCCCCCAGCTTTGCTGTGCTACCAGCGCAGGCGACAAGCAGAAAAGCAAAGGGGTCTGGACTCAGCAGCACCGCTTGTTCTCACCATTTTCAGAAACCAATGCTGCCGGTGAAAGGTGGCAGATGTGTACCCCCCCTGAGGACACCGTCCCAGCCCCCAGAGCCGCGCGGTGCCAGTGTGGCAGCGCTGCTCCCTCCATCCCCTGCAATAGACCTTGGACCGCCCGCCTGTGAAGTGGAGATAAGAAACCCTCCCTGCCTCCGTAGGGCTGGAGAAACGTTGCTAATCTAATGCTTGCAAAGCCCTTGGAGAGCCTCCAAAGCAAGGCGATACAGAAGCGCAGGGTATTACTGCCGTGGCTCCAGCCCCCCGCCAGGAGGGACCACCTCTGGAGGAGAGTGATGCTGTTGTCCTTGTTCCAGCTAATCCTCTGCCTCGCTGCTGGGGATGTAAACAAGGCGGCCAGCGAGGACTGATCAAAAAAGTTCAGCTTAAATTGTTTTGCTTTTGCCATTTGAAAGATAGCTGGGCTTTCACGTGAAAGGGGAGGGTCTACCTTCCCTAGAAAATTCTCAGTTTTCATTGAAAGACTTTGCACCTGGACTGCTACATAAGCTTGCAACCAGCAAGGAAACTATTTCCTTTAAAGCATGCTGTCATACAGCTCCCAGCAGGATCTAGCCCAGTGCCTTCCTCTTCTGGTATGGCAGGAATTCCCTGATCAGATAACCCCCCCCTGCATCGCAAGTCTCCTGACCAAGGGGGAAGACACCAATATGTGGTCCAGGAGACATGGCCCCAACAGAGGGGAAAAGAGCAGAGGAGGTACTTAGACCTACACCTCCACCAAGCACTTCAGTAGCATTTCTTAGTGGAATTACTTTGTATAGTTGGCCAATATACTTTAGGAGGTTTTATCTGCATGTTCTTCAGATGTTTTGGGGAAAGGCTTAACATATCCCATATCTAATAGCTCTAGTACCAATTTTTTACCCCTCATTCAATCAGGCAGCTAGGCAATGCTAACCCCCTTCACACCGGCAACCAAGTGAAACATCTCCACATCTTGCTCTTGGTATTTGGAAGCTCTTTCCAGTCTGCAGAGTACACTGGAGATGGAGGTGCAGAGTTTATCAGCCTCAGAGAGGTCATCCTATTTACCTCTCCATCTGCAGGGCATGCGAGCAGGACTGGTCTTACTTGAGAAGCTGGCATTTGCAGCAATTTCTTCTATTCTTGCCACTGGATGGCCTTCACCCTTTGAACAAATGTCCCATCTCCTCACAGTCCCCTCGTGGAGGTGAAGCCTCTGCAGAGATCAGTGCTGCACGAGGGAGGGCAGCTGCCCGCGGTGGGACCACGCCAGAGCCCAGCGAGCACAAAGGACACGTAACTAAAACCAAACTCAGAAGACAACCAGAGACACCCCGCAGGCAGGTTCTGGGGTTGGGGGGTAACAGCCAGATGCTCAGTGGGACACTGGGCAGAGGAAACCCAACGGCACACACCTCGCCTCGGAAACCCCCTAAGCAAGTGGATGTCACCCAACCTGCGAGACGTGGAGGGACAGGGGAACGGGAACAGCTCTGTGCGCTGCCCGTGTCCTCACCGGGACAACAGAGAGGTCCAAGGAGTCATCACCTCGCCTTCGGCAGCTGCAGCTCACCCACTGCAGCAGCAGGTCTGGCACGGCATGTTCAAGGCACACAATTACCTTGACAGCAGAAACAGGGCTGAGGTTCCTCCCTGGAACATGAAAGACGCCCATGAGAGGACAGAGAGGGCATTAGGGTGGCTGGTACCTCTCCGTCGATGCAAAATAATGGTGGGGAAAGGGGCCACCCCAAACCAAACTCAAACCTGAGCAAGGTGCCTCTGCCTGTGCTCTCGCGCTGCCTGCGGCGCGGCAGACAGCGACTCCCCTCACCCGGCACGGTCTGCGCTGCGTGTACGCACGGGTCTGTGGAGCTCCTCGGGACGCCACAGATGTGGTAAATAGCTTTAATAATAGTTATTAAAAGATCACTGGGGCAAGGACTATATTATTTAGGGTTTAGACAATGCCAGTACTCCCAGCTGGAGCTAAATAAATAACAAGTGAAACAGCCATGATTACACCAGTCCTCACCTGGCAGACGCGATGGTCTCCTCCTGGTTAGCAAAGTCTGGGCTTGAAATGCAGTTTTCCCAAACTCCTTTTCCTTCCTGAAGCAAGCACCAGACACAGCGAGTGAATCAAAGGTACTGACCCTGTTCAGAGCCAAGCAAAAAGAGGTGAGAAAACACTGAGCGCAAGGAGAGAGGCGACGGAGCATCTCCCCACTCGAGTGGATCTCATATATATTAGCAACAATTAGGTTAGTTTGTGTTTATCTCATTTCATTGTTGTTCTGACAGCATCCTCACATACCAGGTTACCCATCACAACAAGGTCCTTATTTACAGGACAGGATAAGCACCATCAGTCCAACCAAGCCACACCCTAGAGAGCATCTTGGTGCTGAAGTGGAAGGACCATGAATCTTCCTCTTAATGCCTGGTCATCTTTTTTTTTGTCAAATTCTCCAAACTCTTCTTCCTCCTGAAGTGTCTTTGGGGTTTTTTTTAAGGGTGGCTGAAGCCTGTCAAATGTTTTTGGCTGCTCTTCCAGTGGCTAAAATAAGTCTATGTTCAGATTAATTTATTGTTTTCTTTCTCCCTGTAGGTCAGTGCATCTTATTATCCTGCGCCAGGATCACTGGGGCACTCGGCAGCCATTGTCACTCTTCCCCATCTCCAGCACCACATATCAGCTTATATGTACGTAAGGAAACCAACATACATTGGGGGGGTCGTGTAATTTTCTGTACCTTCACCTGATGCTTCTCCAGCCAACGGTTCTTGTGAGCTGGGAGGTAAAGGCAGACCAGAGCGCAGCTCCCATGAGCTCAGATCCAAGTGCAGATCCACACAGGAATGTATTTGGCTGGTCTAAGCAAGGGGTCACAGAGACTTAGTATCATGGCTGAATTATTATCTTCCCAGCAGGCGAACCGTCTTTGCACCTTACTACCTTACTTCAATATTTACAGATACATAGTTCTGCCTATTTGTCAACAGTACATTTTAATTTTTTTAAATATAAAGCAACTAATTACTCCTTAAGTGCCTCTAGTTATTTATTTTAAAACAGCAAAGGTCACTGGTGTTTTGAATAATCCAATCTTTTAAAACTTTCCCAGAGTTAAAATTTGCAGATAATATATTGTGATGATTTGTTTTCCTCTAGATAAGATTCATCAGCTTGGCACTGTAGTAAGCTACCTAATAACAACAAAATAGCAGCAAGCTGTCTACATGGTAATTAGCACCTCCACAGTATCGAGCCAGACCTGTGGAAACACTAGTACACATGAGCAATATCTGTAAATCTGTACTACGCTCATGATGTTTGCTACTTCCATGCATTAGCATAGGTCATCCAAGACTATTGCACACACTTAATCCTAAGTGCAAGAAAACTCCCAAGACCTCATTGCAGAATGAGGATAGTATTAAAGTGTTCAGTCAGCTGCCCATTTTGCACAGCTCCTTTTTCAACCCTACAATATCAAACCAGTATCTGCATTTCCTGCCCTTCAGGATGAATCCTGTATAAAGTAATAAACCACTGCAGAATTAGAACACCCTTAAATTGAACCTCGCCTGGTCTGTGCAAGTAACAGAAGTCATTTTGTAAAAAGACAGGCCTTCCAAGTCAAACTTTCAAGTGATTGTTCTGAACAACAAGGAGAGAAAAACCTTTTTAAAAAGTTAGGGGATAGTCCTTGACTATGTACACAACTAGTCTGTTGTTTCTATTTTTTTTAAATAATATCTGACAATTGCTGTATTGGTCTGTAACTCATTAATATTTGGGAGCAGATCACATTCCCCTTGGAAAAAACAACAACAATGCAATTAAATGTGTTACACTAGAGACAAATTAAAGTTCTTTAAAGAACAAATGGGGAAAGTTTTGAAAAATATGCCATTTTCTTTTCCTCCTGTTTTGTTGTGTGGTCACCTGTGGTTCACTATAGAGAACAGAGCTTCGTCGCCTAGTCATAGCCCCAGAATCACGGGAGAGAGGTCTAGAGGGGATCTCAAATTAATTTCTAGTCCGGTTTCCTCACTAGCCCAGAGCAGAGCCATGTACCTCCTCCTTTGTCCACTTTATTCTCAGAGGCCCCCGGTGGCAGCGACTGAAGTCCCCGTGTTAGCCTCTGCAGGGGTCCAGTCACAGGAGAACGAGGAAAGGGCGGAAGATGGGGTTAACGCGCGTGTTGCTGTATGAGCGGTGCTCCTCCCCTCGCCTCTGAACACCTCCAGATGATGCTCAAGGCAAGCAGATGCAAGGCCTCTGGCTCACCATGTACTTCAAAGGCAGAATGTATTCTTGATGCTATCGCTCGGACAGAGCGTCGTACCTGCACTCTTTCATGCTGCTTTGCCTTAGGACAGGCACACATTAGCCCTTAATCAGTTATTTCACTGGAGCGCTCGCTGTGTGAGGTGGAGAAGAGCAGCTCTCTCCTCCCTAACGCTTGTCGCCCTTGGCTGGCTTAGCTGGCACTTCTGGGACAGAACCCATTGACAGGATCTGCTTTGTTCCTGTTGGCTCTTCTTTTATTCATATCCCCTTTGGCCTGAAGTTACAGGCCACTTCTTCCCTGCGAGTTCTCTCCACAATAACGGCAGCACCCAAATATTTGATGTGAGTGCTGCTTGAAGAGGCTTCAGGCAAAGAGCCGCTGCTCACCCAAAGCCAGCAGCACCAGTTGTTCAGCACAAAGCCAGGAGCTTCAGCATGTGCTCCAGCCGCACTGCATGGGGGCAGTTACTGCCTTCCCTCCCCCTCATCTCCCCTTCCTCTCCAGGTGCGTGGCTCTCAATTCCTACATGGCTCACGGACCAGATGAGCTGGAGCTGCAGAAGGGAGAAGGGGTCCGCGTCTTTGGGAAAGACCACGACGGCTGGCTGCGGGGCATGTCCCTCGTCACGGGGAGAGTGGGCATCTTCCCCAGCAACTACGTCGCTCCTCTCTTCAGGTCTGGTTTTTCTTACATGAAACAAAAACATACAGCGAGGGGAGCGGGTAACATGTAGGACTTGGGGTCTTCTCGTTCCCACAGAAAAATCACTGCAAGGGATTCCTGCAGTACTAACAAAGGCCAGGGATTCCTTGCCTGGGCAGGATGACACCTGGCAGGTCTCACTCCTTTTATTCTTCCATGTACCGACTCAGCCACACGCACCACGTGGGAATCGCATCTCCCTCCAACAGCCGGTGCCATAGCAGGGAGAAGTCAGGGAGCGGAGGGGGCTGGCAACGTTCTCCTCAAAGGGGGCACACAGTCTGGATGAGCAAACAGCGTGATATCAGCCTTCATCCGCTTGTTTTAAACCTGGGACGTTCACAGAGACATCAGCAGCTTCTCCCATGACTGTTTCAGTCCAGGAGCTTTGGCAGAGACCTGTAGGTGACACAACCGGCACATTTTGATGAGTGAGTCTGGGAGCCAGGATGAACGGCAGCATGTCTGTGCTCGGACTCGCCTTTATTCCTTTTGGATGACTCCCATCTTTTTTTTTTTTTCCCCTGCCAGAAGGGAAACCACAAGCTGAAGGCTCTTTTAGAGTCAAAATACTGTCTTTAGAGCAGGCATTTAAGCACTGGACGCCATTGATCTAGCTAAACAAGCATGCATTAGAAAGAGCAATAATTGAAATATACAATTTAGGAGAAGAGAAAAAAAAAATTGCCTGTGCCCTTAGTTCCCCTGAAATACACTCAAGTTAGGCAGAGAAACAAAGAACAGCTTAGAAATGTAGTGCTCTGCTTCTGCAAATAAAAAGTGGGGATAAGTCAGGACACCTCTCCCAGGACTGTGATTTTGTTATTTGGAGAAGGGTTTCCACATCTGGAAACTCACTGCAACGGTCCAGCCCCATCTGCGGGAGCAGGGATGGGGAAGGATGGGCGCAGGGAGCTCTGCTCGGAGGGGCAGCTGCGGTCCACGCACGCCCGCCTGCCCGTGCCCCCGCGCAGGGTTAAAGGACTGCACCGAGGGACGATCGGGGGCATCTCAGCCTCTGCCTCCCTGAAAGCCTTCTAGCGACACATCAAAAATTCACCTTACACTCCCAGGTCCTCCCGCCACCATTTGGTTTCTCTCTGCCTTGTTTCTTTCCCTGCTTATATTTTATTCTGCCAGATCGCTCAGTTCAGGCTGGAGGTCCCAGTGCTGCCCCCCTGCACCCTCCCCGCATTCAGGAGCGCTGGTGATTAGTCTTTGTCTCTCCAGCTCATTTCTTCACCATATAGCCTCTGATAACACCGCGGCCCCACCTCACCGATAAACAGAACAAACAAATAATCAAGAGCACAGTCCAGACACCCTAAATAGCCTCATAAAGCGCTTCAACCATAAGCGCTGGTTTTGGAGCTGCTATTCTATCCTTCTTAGGAAATTTCTTCATAATAAATTGATGCCCAAGTTATTTTATGAATCACTGCTCAGTTATTAAACCATAAATCATTCCTCCACCCCCCCAAAAAGGTAAAGAAGAGTCAGAGGAATGATTTTTTCTTCCTCTGAGGAGTTAGCAAAGGGACTTCATCATGGCCCACTCTCTCAAGGAATCTGGAGCAATATTCGGCCAGCGTGCTGGTGGGGAATGTTGACAGGTTTTTTGGCAATTCGGTGGCTTCAGGTGAAAGTACGAAGATGACCTCTCTAGGGGAGGGAGGGGAGGAAGATAATCCAAGGTAGCTGCTGTACACGGGAGAGCTGCCCAAACAGCAGGGGGAAGCTAGAGCCAGGCGACAGGAGCACAAACGCTGCCTCTGCCCGGTCCTCCGGACCTGCCCTGCCCCTGCGCTGAGAGGTGCCTCTTCCAGCTCCGGCGATGGTGCCATCCAGCACGCTCCCGTGCAGGGAAGGGGTAGGCTATACAAGCTTGCTTTTGCATCCAAACAAAACCAGTCCGGTCGCGTTGCGTGGGATTCTCAGGTCACCCAGACACAAGGAGGAAGAGGAGCCATTCAGACCATGAATGGGACGTGCTGCCCCGTGGCACCGTAGGCACTGTAAAGCTTCAGCAGATGCAGGAGCGTGGTGGTCCCTGCCTGTGCCCGACCACCGTGGATAACAGACACCAGCAGCTGCACTTGGAGAACAGTGTTGGAGGAGCCAGAGCAGCCCCTGCTTTGTTCAGCACACAGGGAGCAGGACAAACCCCAGCTCTACATGATGGAGGGAGCATGCCTGGGCAAATTACAGGGGGAGGGCTGGTGGCTGGAGGTCCCTTTTGCAATGCCATGGGGTTACTGTAATGAATCCTAACCCTGTTTGGGAATAGTTTCTTATAAAGCAGGTGCAGGAAGATGAAAGCCCTTGTTATAATGGAATCAGAAACCTGAACTAACTGTATCATCCATAGCATTTCCCACCAAAGCCCTGACTTGGGAGCAGTACAGGCCCATTAAAACCATTAAGTTCCCTTTTGGGCAAACTCCTGCTTTCCTTACAAAACCATAAGTCTAGTCTCAGCTTACTTTCTTTTCCATTTCAAACAGGAAATCTAATCTTTCTGACTCAAAGATGCCTTCCCTGTACGCCTCATGGACACTATCAACCTCCTCACTCTCCTCCCAAGGGAGCATCTCAGAAAACGGCCCGAGACAAAGCAGACCCTTTAAACCGGCGCTGCTGCCCGTGCCCATCACCTCGCCTGGGAGGAACGCGGTTGCAGCGGCCTCGGGACAGGCATCACTGCGGCGTGGACGTGGCAGTACGAGGAAGAGTAAGTGCTTCGGGGGGGTGTCTATGGGAGGGAGAAGCCAGATGCATCCCCCCCAAACCATACTGGCTGCCCGCAATTAGCACCAGAGCTGTAAAAAAGAAGTGAACATTGCCCGGAGAACGGCAGCTCTCCCGAGTGGTCCCCACCAGGGCTGGGCTCCTGCGTCAGGCTGAGCACTTCGCGATGAGCACTTCGCGATGAGCACTACGCGAGCAGAGACCGTCTGTTCCCTGGGGCACTCACAGCATCTCCTCTCACCCACGGGAGAGCTGGGGCGGGGGGGCAGGCGGCCCTGGCTGACACGCCGGGTTTGCAGACACGGAGTGACCGTGCTGTCGCCCACCTGCACCCCCCTTTGTGAAACAGGCTCCTGGGAAGGGTCTTTCCAAGGGGTCTGACTCCTGGCAGCTGGGCTGCAGTGCCAAGGACAGGCAGTGTTATCCTGCCACTGGGCAAGCGGCCGCACATGAAGGAAAATTCGATTTACTAGATTGAGCATAGCAAAAGTCTGCCCAGACCTCTGTGGATTAACCCTCTAGGCTGGCAGGGGAGGGGGCTGAAATGCCATGGGGGGTTAATCCCCTGCAAAGGCAGAAACGAAGCGCTGGGGCGATGCCAGCTGGCTCCCCTGTACCGACTGGCACCACACCGCACTGGAGCATGGCACGGCTGGCTTCTGGGGAAGCAGCTGATGACCGTGTCCTCAACAGGCACAGGAATGTGGCTCAGCATGCACTGGTTAACCAAAAACATTTAAACAGTAGAGTAAGGTAGGCCATTAGAAGTAAAAGTGTCCTTATGTAGCAAACAAAGAGAATGAAATACAAACTCCAGCAAGGTAAACATGAACTGTACCAAGACAGTATTATGAGTCTCTGTAAGGGACTTCTGCAGTGATCTTGGAAAATGTGAATCAGCAAATCCAACCTTTGAAATCTACACCAGCCAGCAAAAGGGCACCAAAACAGTAGCTGAAATGTCAATACACAGATATGGGGAGAAATAAGCCCTAATTCTACACACACAACCTTGGGCCCTAAATTAGCTTTTGTCACTCTGAAGAGAGGTTTTGGAATCATCACAGACAGCTCAGAGAGCTCCAACTCCATGCTCAGAAGCAATTTTTAAAAAGGTTCATTTAGAGTATTATTAGGAATTATTAGGAAAGGAACTCAGAACAAGAGAGTAAAACTCAGCTGTGCCACTGGGGAGTTCTGGTTAACTCATATCCTGAACACATATTTCTGGTAACTCAAAAAGAATATAGTAAAATCAGGAAAAGTATGCAGGAGGATGATCAAAAGAATAGAGTAACTTCTATTTCAGGAGAAAAAAATACTCAGCTTGGAAATATCTCAGATGCATAAAATCAGGAATAGCCTGAAGGTGAGAAAGGATACTTCACAAAGTAAAAAAGAAGCAGGAGTTACCCAGTGAAATCATGAAGTCAAAAGCCTTGATATAGCAGAGAGCTAGAGGGGAAAAAACCTCCATTTCAGCTCTATTTTTCTTCTCCTCCTCCGCAAAGATCCAAAACGTGCTTCTCATTCACACATGCCCAGGGCTGTAGGAAATACCCCTCCCAAGGACGGAGGGCAGGGAGAGGGAGCCTTAGTGAACACCTCCCGCAAGGCTGGCAGAGGAGCCCGGAGTCCCACACCACTGGCTTTCCCCAGCTGTGATTATTTTAGTAATCCTCAGTTTTTTGACTCGGCACAGAAAAACCCTTTGTGAAGGTTTATGCAGAGCTCAGTTGGTTATATTCTTTCCAACAAGGCTGGCAACATTTATCTTCAGCCCATACATGCTGTTTTGGAATACATTTCCAAGTGTATTTGGGCAACTAAGTGGTGTTCTCCCAGCGCTCGCAGGCGGAGCTGCTGCTGGAGGCAGGCAGTGCCCGTGGCAGGGGGGAGGCATGTTTGCAAGGGCCATTGTCAGTGGTTTTAGACTTGAAATTGGATTTATCTTAAGAGTTGTTTTACTGTAAAGGACTCATTCCCCTGTGGTGGCTCTGTTAAAAAAAAAAAAAAAAAAAAAAAATCAATCTTGCAAACAGCGAGAAACTGCAGAAGAAATAAAGCGTGTGACTTCCCGCGCCACAGATGGGAAAGCAGCTATGGGATGGAGCAGCCAAACAGCAACAACAAAGAGCACGGGACGGCGAGGGCTGACGGCCGGGCTCCGGCACAGGGCTCCTCCTGGCAAAGAAACCGTGGGGAGGGCGCAGGGAGCTCCCCGGGCCCCTTGAGGACCCCATCACCAGAGGTGTTCCCTAGGGGCTCCCAGGGGAGGTTTTCTGCTCATGGGGGTGATTTCTGCTCCCCTGCAGCACATGCTGGTGGCAGACATGTCACCCAACACGGTTACCCCCCTCACCCCTTCCCGGTGCGGCTGCGCCTGGTCCTACCCACTCATCACAGTGCTTCCCCCAGGCAGCCAGCCGAGCAGAGCAGTGGTGCCACGACTCCTCAGCCTGGCAGCTGGGCAGGAAAATCCCAACCGTTGTCACGCTGAGGCTGTGCAACCTGATATTTGGGGTTAATGCGTTTCAGCGTTTGCACCAAGAGTATTTACAGTCTAGGAGACAGCAGGGCAAGCTTTCAAAAACCAGATCGGTCCTATCCAAAACAGAAGAATTTCTGTGGCATGAGTTGTTGTGCAAATACAGGAGGATTGAGGGTTTCAGCTTGTTGGCCTTGCCAGCGGAGCAGCTGCCCGCAGAGGAGAGGCTATGAAGGCAGGCAGCGTTACTGCACACCAGTGCTCGTGCATGGGGGTAGATGCGTGGCAATCCCTGGGAGCTATGACCCCACAGCATCCCTGTGAACAGGGCTGTTAGTGCAGGGCTGTAATCGCTGCTCACTTCTGCCTCTTTGCTTCGTCTCTACCATTTTGTATTCCGGCTGACTGACTTCTTTTCAAATGGTTCTTGCTCCCCAGATGGATCTCTGCAGAGGCCGGGGCAGGCAGGGACCCCCGTGCAGGTTGCTGGCTCCCTCAGGCGTCCTCCCACGGCTGCGATGAGACCTCAGCAGCTTCAGCTTTATCAGCATGTCAGCCCCCAGCCACACAGCATCCCTCCTGGAGCTGGCATGGCCGAGGCAGGAACGAGGCCAAACTTCTCCCATGACGCTTCACCGGCACTTGTGGTCAGAGGAGGGGAAAGCAGAACTCCCTCTGTGTGCAGCTCGGTGATCCTGGATGCCAAAGACCCTCTGGCAAAGAGTGAGGCAGCTCCAAAGCCGCCTGCATCAGCCCCACCATCCATCCTGGTGAAACCAGACACCTCCCGCAACAGCACCGAAAAGGTACGGCCAGCGGTTACCTGCTGCTTCCGAGGGTCCCCCAGTCCTCTTGGGACTGGCATTCACTGTCAGCCCACTGTTGGCCGGGGCCAAATCCCTTGAGGGCTTCGCTCCATTCTCACCAGGTTTTCTTCTGACAGAAATCACTGGGATTGGTACCTGCGTTAAGAAATCAGCTATTTGTGTTGCCAATACTGCGTTCAGATTAAGCCCTTTAGAAAGGCAAGATGCTGCAGGGTCTCTTTCCACGTAAACCAATGTTCAGTCTCTGTCAGATCTTGAGACTTTTCTGATGTCTTTAACCAGGCAAGAATCCCACCAAGGTCCCTGAGAGTTTGGGAGCAAATGAGCAAACGCCACAGACCTGCGTGTTAGACCTTATGTCAGGCTGCTCTCTACAGAGCTCCCCGCCATCTCCCTCGTGTTGCTTTGGGTGAGCCATTTGGAAGAGAAATTTCTTTCCCCTCTGGCAGCCAGAGGGAAATTTCATAAAGATAAAAATGTTCTGCAAATTGCCCTAGCGACAGCTTTCCCTTCCCATGGCACCCAAAGAATAAATTGCTCCACAAGCCCCTGAAAGCCCAACCGACCTCAGAGCTCCCACTAAGATCATCATCAGCTGGAGAGAAACCGGAGGCTCTCCGTGAGGGGCACAGCAGGACAGGCCACCCTCCCTCCTCGTGTCCTCCTGCCACCTGCTCTTCCCCTCCACTCTCTCCCGCTAACTCGGGCGATGGCTCCGGACCAACTCTCCCAGGTCTCCGTGACAGCTGATGGCACTGCCGCACCGTGCTGTGCCGTTCCCTGGTGCTCTCTCCCACCCGCTGTCAGCTGCACATCACGCCGGGACTCTCCGCAGGCATCCTCTGCCCCCCGGGAAAGAGCCAGCCGCCCCCTCAGCTCACCCTCCCCGGTTCTCCAGGGCAGATCACAGCAAGGAGGGCGGGTGGCCGCTTTTCCCACTGTGACTCTGGTCCCCTTCTCGTTGCAGCAAGTGAAGACGGTGAGGTTCCAGAACCACAGCCCCCCGCCGCCCAAGCGGCACAGCCTGCAGCCCTCCCCGAGCCTGCCACGCAGCAGGACGGAGCCGGCGGCCGCAGCAGAGGCTCTCCTGCCAGAAGCCAGCCTGCCAGGCCCCGAGCTGGCGGTGCTGTACTCACCCAGGACCAGCTCCAGCCCCCTGCACCAGCGACGGGCACTGCACCCGAAGGCGCTGTCACTGGACCTCTCCGGGCAGCTGACCTTCCCTGTCAAGAAGAACTACAGCAGCGTTTCTGCAAACTGACAGGGTAACTCCTCCACTTGCTTTCCTTCACGCGCCTGCTCCTCTCCTCCCTCCTGCGAGGGGCGAGCACCCCGGACCCCGCACCAGCCTGCCACATCTACCGCTCCCGCTCCTGTGGCGAGGGGCAGCTATTCCCCACGTCCCCACACCTACCCACTGCCGGCACCCTCAGGACCTGCAAGTCTGAAGCTTGCAGAGAAATGGGGTTGCTCCTGAGGGAGCGGGACGGGACAGGACAGGACAGCATCTCTCCCTGCACGGTGGAGTCCTGTCCTGGCCCCTGCCGTGCCAAGCACAGCTGGAGGAGCCCCGCTGCCGTAGGGCTGCTGCGAGCACCAGGAGACGTGAAGCGGGTTTGTGGCATCCGCAAAACTGACATTCTTTGGCATCGTGTAAGGCTGCCTGTAAGGTACTGGAGGAGGAGCGGGAGGGGGAAGAAAGCGTGCAGGTATCAGAAATAGTTAAGCTTGTTTTGATCTCACTGCTGCAGGAGAGGCCACAGAGATCAAAACACTGGTTCATTACCTTCCTGCTTCTGCAGGATAAAGAAACCATAAATCAGAATCAGTCAGTTCCTAGCTGACGGTTCGTGTTGCCTTTTGAGAGGGGTTCACTCAGATTTTTTTGTTAGGTTAGTTGCTTTCTTGCTTTTCTGTTTGGTTTTACTCCAGGAGTTTTAACACAGAATACAGTTTAAAAGGTGATTTGGAGAGGAAAGAGACAATGGAAAGGGACATGCCATTACCGCAGTCACTTAGACTCTGCAGACAGGGGTATTGAATCTTGCTTCTCCTCATTGCTTGGTTTCCTCTAATTACCTGTCAGCTACCTCCTAGCAGTCCATGAGCTCACTCCAACTCCTTCCCACTGCCCACCAATTCAGATATTGCTTTTGTAAAAAACCCGTGAATTCCACTTAGGATAAAGTCTACATTAAGATGCATGAAACATTGTCTATGTAACAGAAAGCAGAATTCAGCATTCACCGTGCCACAGACCACCCCTCTGCCACAGCAGCACCAGCTCCAGTTTTCAGCTGACCCCATTTCAAGCATCCTCCTGTGAATCCACGGAAAAGCAGGCAGAGTCAGAGAGCTGTGCCCAGCTCGCCAGCTGGGACCGCTCTCCAGCAAACCCATGCACAACAGCTTTTGTTTTTCATACTTTGTTTTTATTGCTGGTTTATAGACCAGCAATTCCCATCCTAGCCACAACCACCGACCGCTAGATCTCCTAACAGCGGTAGCTGTGCTTCATCCAAAACTGCTGTAAAATCACATCCTTGGTTAATTGCATACAAAACCCATGAAATTAACTCCACTGGTCAACGGAAACTCTCCGAGGCACTGGCACAGCCTCAGAGAAGGACATTTTCTTCTGGAACTAAAAGGGAATGGATAAAATAATTTACTAGTCTACAGCCCCTGTTCTTTTACTCTTTCAGACTCTTTCTTTGTGGAGCAGGAAGCTGGCATCTGCCTGCAGGGATTTTCAGTAGCACAGAAACCAGCAATGGCACAGATAAATTCTTCACCTTGTGCTATCTGTCACTATTTAAGCTCCTGCAGAAAAATCCTGACAAACTGAAAATGTGCAGTTTGCCCAGATATAAAAGGTGGTTCAAGCTGCAAATAAGAGGGTGAACATGACTCTCAGCAACGCCACCTCAAAGACAGTTGAACATCTCAGAGAGGACATACCAGCTCTTTGCTTAAGACTCCTCTCATTCCTTTAAAACTAAACCAGAAAACCTTATAAGTTGGCTCTATAACCAAGAACACCTCCACTTTTCCCAAGCACATTCAGAAATAAATAGAATTGCACTAGGTGCATCCAGAACCAGCACAGGTAGTAATTTATAGTATTGGTTTGGAGGGGAAGGAGGGGCTGCCTGCTCACGCCTGGCTCCAGATGTGATCACTTACTGCATGCTAACAAGAGGACAGACAGCACGGTATGACCCGATCTGTAATCCACCGATGAAGCATCTAATGCATTTCAACAGCTGACCTCTCATGAGACTCATAGAAGACAGTGGCATGGGTGGTTGGAGCTACACAAGAATTAATTATGCAGATGGAAATGCTGGCAGAGAAGGAGCAGTAGGAAACGTGAAGCCCAGCTGAATACTTGGCAGGGACAGTGTGTGTAGGGAAGGAAGGGGAACTCCTGCGTTTTACTGCCCCCCAAAACCAGTATCCTCATCTCATGCCAATATAACAGAGCCAAGGTCCAAGGCTCACTGAGCAGGGTGATACAGCTGGGAGCAGGCTGGGCTGTGCCCCGGGGAGGGGGACGGCCGATCCCTGCGCACACATGGCAGTTAATGCCAATCCCGAGCTTTTATGCTCTACAGCGAGAGGCAGCCGCCAGCCCCCTGGCCCCAGCAGAGCTCAGTGTCCCCAGAGAGCCAGGAACAAGATAATGAGCCAGGGGCTCTGCGGCAGCTTGGATCAAAGATCTTCCCTTGTTATCGGCAATTAACCCTGGCCTGCAAGACCCCGGTGCCAGTTTCGTCAGGAGCTCAGAAGGAGCATTCCTCCAGACCAGGGAGCACATCAACAACTGCCAACGCTCAGGAGGGAGCTCAGTGCAATCTGCATGCAGAGAAGCATTTGAAGATGAGGGGCAAAAAGAAAACAACGAACCGTAACTCACTGGGGACTTCAGACAGATGCACGTTGAAGTAAGTCACCTTGTAAATTTAATGTACAAGTGGGGCAGGTTTTCCCACAAGAGGCAGATATGCAAGGCCAGGCAGCAAGGAAGAATCTGAAGCTCAATTTGGGACTGCAAAATGAAAAGCTCAGAAAGCAACAGACAGAAGTGACTGCAGCTCCATTTCTCATGCCTCGATCCTGCCACCAAAGCCCAGATACAAGGAAAGACAGCACCTCCTTTGGCCAGATTTATCAGATGCACTGAGCTTCAGGGGACACTAAGAACATCAGGAAAAGCCAAAGGTGCTCAGCATGCCTTAAGACTTAACAAGCCATAAAGTCCTTCTGCACATCTGGGCTCACAACAGCCGGATACCACTCACATTATCAGTTCAGAATATTGCCTTTCATGGAACAAACCCATCCTCTTATCCTCTCCTATCAAGATAAACACCAATAAGGTTTCACAGCACCCATGCACCCAGGGAAGCCTGAGAAACCGTTCAGCCCATTACACGATACTGAAGCGTTAAGACAAATACACGAAAAACCACCACAAATCTCTCCCGGACTTGGCCCTTAACCCACTGTGTTATGAAAACAAGTGACAGCACTGGGCTGATGGGGGCAGAGAAAGCTCTGACACTTGTGCACACACATGCACAGTCACGGGTAACGGCAGGGAAAGGAAGCACTGACAGTGAAATTGGTGCTTTGGTAAAAGAGCAGGCAGCTATTTTGGGACAGATGTCTCAGTTTCTTGCACAGGATATTTCAGTGCTTTGATGCTATGGTGATAAGTGCCCTAAATATATTCAAAATATGTAGGGAGAGAGAACTGAAAACAAGACGTAATTTAAAGCAACAGCCCTAATAAGCCTCTTGTTCCCATAGACATACCTGCCCACTGGTTTCAAACTGCAGCCCACTGAGCAAAATTGCTAAGTCCTCCTCACCTTCTCCACTCATCCCCTCGCAACACCTAGGAGGAAGCATCTGGACTGTGTTATTTCACCAAGGAACGTCCCAAGGAAGAGGGACTAGAACTCAGACCTTTTCTTCCAAAAGCCCAGACTAAAGCAAAACCTGGAGCTAATCTGAAACTTTGTCATGAGCCCTGAGTGAGACATTGCCCAACAAGTGGCCCTTGTCTACATGGAGGAGCCGATCATGCTGGGGAAGATATCGACTGGGTCTGTCGGGGAGCAATTCTCTAAGTGCACCAGACTAAAAACATCTGTTCTGGAACAATTACTCTAACCACCTTTATTCTGCAAGCAGAATCACCACACTGGGTTCTTGAAGCATGAGCAAACTTTGCATTTTTTGTTTCAGCTCTGGCCTGCTCACCTGAAGCATACTGTATCTTCTACGAGGATCTGCTCCAAACCCCTGTCCCTTTCTGGCTGCTGTCATCCAATTTTTTAAATTTTTTTTTTAATTGGGTAGCAATGAAAAGGGAGGCATCACATGTTGGCAGGAGGGTGGTAGCTTTATATGGAGGTGGGTGAGCTTTTCAAGGGTTTCTGTTCTTTTTATAAATAAATTTAACTTCCCTCCTGTCTTCCCACCCTCCAGACTCTCTTCAGCCCATTTTCCCAGTGAAGAGAGGTTAGACATCAGCATTGGGACCCCGTTTTGTCATTCCCAAGTTGGCCAGGAAGGCCCATGGAGGAAGGCCACCCCTTTCACCCCCAGGGATGTCTCCCTTCTGCACTCTCAATGGTGCAGAGAGGCTGGTCTGAGCCCTGGCCCTGCTGAACCACCAAGTCTGCAGTCTTCTCTTTTACCACAAACCATCATATGAAGCACAGAGTGCAAAAAACCCCCAACATTAGGAAACTCAAAATACAATTGCAGTGTATTGCAGTGTAATGTATTTCTATAATGAAAATACTTTGTTCTCTTCCTACCCAGCTGAAGGTGTGCAGGCAGGCTGATCCGGGCTCTGACCACCCAGAGCATCGCATTTGTCAGCAGAGCGCAGGAAAGGAGCTCTGGAAAAGTGCATAAAGCAGCACACAGGGACAGAGGGACCATTAATGAACCTCTCACAAGTTCTTGAATTGGGCTTGTTTTCTATCTGCTTGTTTCTTATGATTAGTTAATGAATTGGAGCCCAAATCAGATCATTCATCAGCTCAGCTTTAATTGCTTGTCTAGCCTAGCTGAAGCCTTGCAGTGCTTCAGTAAGTAACCTACCTGCCAAGCTTGAACTGCAGTCATGTTTCCTGATAAATTATGAGCAGAGGCAGCAGAGGTAAGAAAACATAACATTAACCAATTCTCTCCACATCCTTCACATGGAGGATGCCTCCCTGCCCCATCCAGAAGCAACCC